TATCACTCCTGTTACCATTTCTAAATCTTTTGCTCCCCTTTCATAACAAACTCCAAATCCCACCTGGCTCTTCAATCCTTGTAGGCAGGGGTCTCCTCTTGACATTGGCAACTGCCTCCGGGTGGACCAAACTGAGATCTCCGACATTCGCTAGCTGCAAGGAACTTGTGTGCGCCTTTAGTGTGAGCCTGTTTCCACACTGAAGACAAAAAATGAAAACAAACTTAAACATTAAAAAATACCACAATTAAACAAAACAAAAAAGGAGGGAAGAGAAACCAAAAATCCACTACTGCTCTGTTACAAGCTATAAAATATGGCACTGCCTAAAAGAGAAAATTTATACCATACCACAGCTGGAGTTGAGGTAGAGCCTTAGGAAGTCAACATGTCCAGCAGTGCTACTGCTAGCTAAAGCAGGAAAAAGCAAGAGCACAGAAAACCATCTGGTGTCTGTAATTGAGGGCTGTTCCCAATATTCCTGTAAGTTATTGAGTCTCTGTACAAATTTTCTGTAAATCAAGTAGTTCTCAGAATTATTGTCTCTGATCAGGGCTTATTAGAAGCATATTGCTCCAGAGTTACAAACCAATGATCAGATTCCTTAAACATAGTGACCAGTGGGAACATAGGATCAGAGGAACCTTAGGATTAGTGGGAACACAGGATCAGTGGATACAGAGGATCAGTGGGAACATAGGATCGGTGTGTACATAGGATCAGTGGGAATATAGGATCAGTGGGAATATAGGATCAGTAAACACGTGGAATCAATGGGAACGTAAGATCCCTCGGAGCATAGGATCAGTGGAAAGATAGGATTAGTGGGAACATAGGATCACTAAGAACATAGGATCAGTGAATATTTAGGATGAGTACATAGAATCAGAGAGAACATAGAATCAGTGGGAACATATGATAAGTGGCTACAAAGGATCAATGGTTACATAGAATCAGTGAGAACATAGAATTATTGAGGATGTAAGATCTGAATACATAGCATCAGTGGGAACAGGAATCAGTGGGAACATAGGGATCAGTGGGAACATAGGAATCAGTGGGAACATAGGAATCAGTGGGAACATAGGGATCAGTGGGAACATAGGAATCAGTGGGAACATAGGAATCAGTGGGAACATAAGAATCAGTGGGAACATAGGAATCAGTGGGAACATAGGGATCAGTGGGAACAGGAATCAGTGGGAACATAGGAATCAGTGGGAACATAGGAATCAGTGGAAACATAGGGATCAGTGGGAACATAGGAATCAGTGGGAACATAGGGATCAGTGGGAACATA